GACCTTGATAGACACATGTGTCAGCAAATGCGTTCGATAGAATTCCTCAGAGATTAACCAAATACTCTAATGGATAGCTAGTCTTCAACAACATCTCTTTCATATTTGACTGCATTTGCACTTTGCATAGAAGCATATAATTTGCACGCTATGGCAAATTCTGATGGCAGACACATAATTTAACCCAAAAGCATTTAGGATGGCGCCAGTTGGCAAATTTCCAAAGCTACATAAATCCATTTCCACGCGCCACTAAACAGTAATTACTAAATGTGTATGAGGTTTGAGCAATTCTATTTGCAAATGGTTAAGGATACGCCCATTCGATTATCACTTAAATTAAACTTCCTCAAAAAAACCGAAAAGCGTATAAGAAAAAAAGGAAATGCAATACTTACTCCTGACAGGGAGAAAAGTCGAAGACGTCCAAAGAACTTGTGCGACTTGGGAGAAATGTTGGTTTTGTGATGAACTACTGGTGTAGCAACAGATTCACTGAGACATCGTTGTCGACCTTTGATTGGTTTCGGAACCACCTTCAAACTTGAGGGACTATTCGTGGCAGTTGTTGTTGTGTTACTGCAGCTACTGCTCTCACTGGATGTTAAGAATGCTGTGGTCGAAAGAGTCTTATCGTTTGAAATTGCTTTAGCCTAATGAAAAATGGGGGCAAATCTATTTACTCCAAATATAAAACCGTCGCGAGGATCTTTAAGTGCTTGATTAAACGATTTGACTCATGAAAGAATTTTATATTTAGGCGGATGCAAACTAGATATTGCTAGTGGGTCTATCCATTTTAGATTTCAGTAATATTACAATGAATAATTAATAGAAAGAACGGCAGTAACAATAAATCAACCATTATTTATTTATGGTATGCAAAATAACTATACATATATAAACGAATTAAGCTGCCCAGTTATAACGTAAACTTTATTTTTGGCCAACAAAATATTTGCCTAGTATTTTCATACTTAATAAAAAATGGTACCGACTTACAGCATGAGAATGCTTAGGACTTCCAGAAGGTCCTTTGGTAGACTCCACTACCATTGTAATTTGTTCTTTAATTTCGAGTGAATTACTGTCGGGCAGATCATGGCTGTAGTTGCTCGTGGTCAGAGAACTTAAGTCGGCAACAACTAAAATTAATGATTATAAAATAAGTTCTACTGATATATTATAAGTAGAAGTACATCCGCATACAAGAGTGTAACTCGAAACTTCGTTTAACTTCATATACAACGGAGACGATAAATTATGAAACGTGAATTAATCATATGAAATTTAAATCACTCGCGTATAATGGGCTTAGAACTGCTTATTCCAATCTTTAAATAGTTTTACAATTTATGGGATAAAGTGTGCGAATGGAGTTAATGCCATATAGCCTTAATCCCATTAAAACTTTTGAGATATCCCTTGAAGTTGTTAGATCTGTTTCAGAGCTTTGTAAATGGTCTAAAGGAAGGGCAAAATTAGTTTTAGTTCCTTATTTAACTATGTAGAACATTTGGTTGCAATGAAAAATCTGCACCCCCCCCCCCCCCTCCCTTGAATGTCAAAATTAAAAAAAAAACCTTCGGTTGACCATTTATTCGCTTTGATAAGCTATTTCACATTTTCTTAATGCTAACCACTTATTAAAGTTGGAGAAAACATGACACTGTTATTGAAATGATGTTGCCTACGCCAACAGCAGTTTTAAACGTAATGGCATGAGAAGGTGGGGAATATGAGATCATGTATTTCAAAACTAGCTTAATACTATAATGCGGTTGATTTTCAAGAATAAAATTATTTTGTGAGTAGATCAAACACTTCCATTCCACGCCGTTGATGTTATATTCTTGGTTAAAGAAACTATTTCGAAGTTCGGTGCTCAACTGAGTTCTAACTGATCATCCTGTTCTCTCAGCTAGTCCTATCCTTACACACTGACTATTTACCTCTTTCCAAAACCTACATAGCGTATCAAATTGCTAAAAAGGCCCATGACAGGGAGCACACTTAACGAAATCACCCATCCTCAATCTCGCTTCCAGAGGGGTTGGATTAGATTCCTTTCACAAGCAATGATTTCACCATCCACCTTTTTCTCAAAATTCATTTTTTATAATGATTTTGTTACATGTACTGAACGCTTAAAATGAGTGCGAACAGTACACTCTAATTTATTAATTGGCGTGACAAGATCCCAGTTATAGGATATCGATTATTGAGTTTCACTCATCTTTGCCTCACAATGATTCAACTTTTCTCCTGCCCTCGCTCCCCCCCCCCCCCCCCCCCCCCCCCCAGTTTACGATACGTAGTCCAAGCCCCTCTTCCTCACACTCCTTCCTCCTCCTCCTCCTCCTCCTCCAACCACGCTCTATTTCACCATTCCATCTTTCTCCCGATCTAAGCTCCTCTCTCACTCGAATTTTGGTCACAGCGTTGAAATAAACCTTGGCCTACTCAAAATTCTAAGAATTCCGAATTGAGAACTTCAATTACCAGTTATTAGCCCAATCATTATTTCCACAATGTAGGCAGCAAATAATATTGAGACTTGAAATCCAATCTCTTAATTCCAAAGCGACATCTAACTAATATCGTCATGTTTTCCACAATTTCAAAAGCCACCGCTTCGGCCTCCATCACAAATTGATTAGAGGATATCGCCGTGGCAACTGGTTGACACGATACCGATTATTATCCCCATTCCATTCCCATTTCAACGAAGTACACAAGCCTCACCTCTCCTCACCTATCGAATTCTTCATCACAAATTGACCTTGTTTATCTTCTTACCTCATCCTGTAGTTTGAGAGTTTTGATAGAATAAATACTTTTTCTAGGTGCTACAAAGGTTATTACCCAGCGGATATAACAAAAAACGTTAGAGTGTAATCAGGATGGGTAAGATCAAAATCCACTGCGTTTAAGAGTGGCATATCGATTATTTTTCAAAAGACTACGTATATTTCTGTAGGACTTTTACTCAACCAATCTACTCCAAATGCCCTTGTCGAGCAATTAACCCTTTAATGCCCGATTTATTTATATTAAAATGCACCCAACCACACTCACGTGTGTTTGACGGCAGACTGATGCCACCGACGTGATGAGTTATGGCTTCCATTACGAGCCTAGTACCAATGGAGCTTATTTGGAAAGAAGACCGTACTTTTAATCCCACATTTCGTGGCTTAGTGAGAAGTGACTCAGCAATAGTTAAAATTCCGTTTTTTAAACACAATATGCTTAACAAATAATAGTTCCGCACTTAGTCGTAGCTGAGCCTTGAACTAATTTCCAACCTGGGTGTCTATCCATGTACGCTCGCTAGCAATACGACCGCGAATGCTGGCCTTCATCAACTCAGAGTTGCAAAAAAGTCTTAACATTTCTTAGTTAGCAATAACCGCAGAAGAGCAAAAATACCTCAACAAATCCGAGCGTTCGATTTTTAGGTTAAATACCAGTGGTCTATTTAAGGAGGGAAACCAATTTTTCCATGAAAATGTGAAACTTTACAAAATGCTATTACGAAATGTGCCCAGAACATTCCCTCGTTCCCACATCTCTCTCAGTTTGAATGCAGTTTGCCTTATTTTGTCCTTTAAAGTCTCTTTCGTCGGCGAATTGTGTGGAGGACCTGACGGAATCCAGAAAGGAAAAAAATGGTCCGGAAACCCAAACCAGCTAATTAGCCAAAAGATTTCATGGATGTGAGGAAACGGAAATACATGACAGTACCGATAAATGACAAAATGTCAAAAAAAAGCATGAAGAGACTCATTCAGACTATGGCTGGTGCCTTCGAAAATTGTCGTACGAAATGCTTCTGTTGGGATCTTGAACTATGTCATTTATGATGGTCAGTGAAACCGAGAAATGCTTCCTGACAAATCAACCTGAACTGGATTTAATTAGTCTTGACTGATTAAAAGGGAATGCAAAAAACCATCCAGATATGAAATAAACCTAACCAGAAGAAAATAAAGAAAAGTGTGCAACAGTCGGAACCAAGTCCTGGTGTAGACAGAGGAATTAAACCAGAATTGAAAGCGATCTGGGTATGCAAACAGAGGATGTAGAAATTACTTCTAAACTGAAGGTAAACGCAGATCGTTGTTTAATGAGATCAGAGTGAAGGTTCCTAACCAAGATATACGAAAAAAGTAAAGTTTAACGAGAAAGTGTGTGGTGAGGAGCAACAGAGATTTATAGTCAACAAAAAATCGAATGATTATTCGAAAGTATCCCATGGAATTACAGATGTGGCCAAACTGAATGAAGCATCTGAATGGATTAGGTGGAGAGGAAGGAATACTAAAACCATGACAACAGCTCAAGAAATCCAGAAAGTGAAGTTCTACGAAGGAGAAACAAAAATACTTCACTAATTTATTTCCATTCTGAAAGCACCAAATTTTTGCCTAAGATGTTCAGTGTCTATTTACTGATGCATATTAATCAATCCAGAGATATCAGTCATGTCATTGGATTTTTTCCTTCTGATGGCTGAGAAGGCGAATGACCTTGCTTGGTATTCCGCAGTTTACAGCTTTAGTATAGTAGAGATGAAATAGATAAATTGGTCTAGGGCCTAACCGACTCCCTCACCTCCCCCCTCCATCCGACAACCTGGATACGGGGTTTGAATTCCACAAAAAAGTAAATAATTTACTCGTAAAAAATAGAATTTCACAACCCGTTCTCAAAACAATTCGACCCAGTGAAGGAAACAAATGTAGTAATTATAAAATCTCCTAATTTGATCTCCTTTTCTATTAAATTACAAAAAATACGGATAATCTGTGAAGATTTCAGACAAGTAAATAAGTAAATTTTATAATAATAACGGCAATAATTCATGAATATGCATGGATCTGATTGGAAGACAAGTAGATTAACATCTAATTAGACTTGTGGACGAATCAACAAGGTCACAAGAAGAGCTAATCACATACCGATTTCTGTTTGTCTAATATAGCAGGGTGGTCCGTTGACAGGAATAATAAGTTCTTTGCCCTGGGGAATCGATGGCAGATGAGTTTTGGTTGACCGATGACTTTCATCTGGGGACGGTAAGTCATCTGGAAGATGGGGACTGGCCAGGTCGGATAGATTCTAAATTTGCACAAAAAAGCAATGGTGTTTAATTATCCACTACCAAGTCGATTGGTTAATGAAACTCCATTCGATTGACATTTGTATCAGGAGTAGTTAGTGTAAGGTATAAAATAATACTCCTTTTACATTATGTGCACATTTATTTTAGATAAAACAATCCGCTAAACACCGTGAAAATCCACAATATGTGAATGAAAGAAGAAAATACTTACCATTGTTGAAATAAGTGTTAGAATGTAATGAAATAGAAGAAGGAAATACAATTTTTATTTTAATGCTTTTTTTAGTAATAATGTTTCCAACAGGGGGTGTGCAATAGACTTACCTCCACGTGGTGCACCCTGGGCAACGTATATTCATACGGCAAAAAGTCTATTAACCGGCAATTGACTTCTGACTTCATACTACCACGACCCCCCTGGTTGTCATATTCGACCCCTACCACAGTACTCACCTTACCTTTTTCTCTACCTTTGTGTCTGTCTGCCTTTTTTACATCTGTGAATCGCTCTTCTGTTCCCCACCTCTCGACTTTCTGCTACTTTGATGAACCTTCCCTCTGTGAAGCCCAAAGCCAGCTAAATGGCTAATGATATCTATCAAAACGCCTGCCATTTAAAATAAATAAATGTTTCCAACAGTGCGGAGTGGTGGCACAGTTCGTCTGCGACGGCAGGCATACACAGCGAGAGAGAGATGAAGGTCCACCTTACAAAGGGTTCATAGAATTTTATTTCCTCGCCAGAAATGTACCTCAATTCGACAGCTGCTTCCAGAACGAACCCTGCAAAACACTGTCCTAATTGACGTCTCAACTTACTTCAACTAGCATGCTAGTACGACTCCTATTTTAATCATAGTTATCACTGTGTGGTTCCAAAGATTGGACTAACGCCATCATCATGCTTTTCACACTTGATAGATTGGATGCAGTGA